AATTTCGCTAGGGGTTGAAAGTTGAAACCTTATTATAAGATGACATTATTTGATGTATCAATTGGCATGGACATGTCTTAACATTTAATGAACATGTGCAAGAAGCTATAAATTTAATTCCATTATTAAAGTCTCAATCATTCCATATATGAATTCACCCCCATTTAAAGAGGAGTTGGTGGGTTCAAATAGAGTATTGAAGGAGCATAACCTTTTTTTTTCCATATCTTATAACAAATCATATGCTTTTTGTAGTTTCCCTTCTTTACAAAATTAAGATGGAATATGTCATAACGTGTGACATTAGGTCTTTTTGATGCAACTTTCTAAATATCTCCCAAGCAATTTTGATCATTCCATTTTTACACAATCCATCAATGAGGCTGCTAAAGATTTCAATATTAACTTCAAACTTGTAGTTCTCTAAAGTACGAAAAAATTTTGCTGCCTCGAGAACATAACCATTCTTGCATAGCCCATCAATCCAAATACAATACGTACTTGAATTCGGTGCAACATTATTAAGTTTCATCTTGCTAAATAGTTTTTGGGCATCTTCAAACTTTATTTGTTAGAAAAAGACTAGTTAACAAACTGTTATATGTAGGAAATGTTGGTCTAATTCCCTTTGAAATCATTTTCATGCAAAGATTCATAGCATTCTCTAGTTTCCTATTCAAGCAATAACCATTGATGGAAGTGTTATAAGTACATGTGCTTGGTTCTAATTATTGATTAGATCAAATCCAATATTGAACTAAAATCTAACTAGATTCAACTTTTGACAATACTCTTATTAAGTTCCTCATACAAAATTGGGATAAAAAACTTCAACTTAGACCTGGGCATTTGGGATCGGTCCTAAAAAACTGGTCCTCACAAGAACCGGTCTTACGAGGCCTGGTCCCAAACCCGAACCGTGCCCATGGAGGAGGGATCGGTCCCTAGATCGGGCCCTCCTCCAAGGCCCGGACCTGGGACTCCAAACCCCTTTGCATTTTTTCAAAAAAGTCCTCTAAAAAATATCTAAAACCCCCCTATAATTTTGAAATTGATAAAGATATTAAGGGTTAAATTGATATTTTACAAAATTTACTAATCTCCGAGGGTACAAATAAATTTTTCAGGCCCCTAAAAATTATATAAACCCCCCTACATAATTTTATTTAACCCCTTAAATATAAAAATATAAAAAAAAGTTGGGGGGTGGAACAAAATTTTCCAGGCCTATGGGTCTGAGCCCTGAAATTTCTCATCGGCCTGGGACCGGTCCCAAGTCCATGAGTGACTAGTCCCAAATGAGACTAGTCGCAATCGAGCCTAGACCCAGACCCGATTAAGACTGGTCCTTGCCCAGGTCCTACTACAACGGGTAAATGAGACTTCATCATGATAATCATAAATGATTATTTAATAGTGGAATTAAATGTTCAACCAAACTTTTGGTTAAACCTTGAACTTACAATTATGTTACCCTAAGCAGCAAGGTTACACATGTAATTGATTTTTAGATAAAAGATCTTGCATAAATGATAATTGCTTGTAGGTATAAAGTAACTAATGATAATTTTAAAAAACCATATAAATATAAATGAAATAATTTAAACCTGATTAATAATTAAGAGATGTTGAAATATTGAATTATTAACTTTAGAAATAATTATATTTTACTCAAAACATTAAAAAGTTTGTATTTTATCAAAACTAGCAATTTAAAATGAGAAAATATTTAGAGAGACCGCAATAATTATTTAAAACGAATTTTATTTTTAATCAAATGTTTTAAAATTTATAATGTGATATAAACAAGGGGTACATCCTTTATAATCAATCTTAAAGTATTTTTAATTGAGACAAAATCAAAATAACGCTATGTCGGTAAAACTAAGTTTTTTTTGGTTAAAAAATAATCAAAATAAATTATTCATAGAAATAATAAAGAATTAAGAAAAAAAATATTTTTAAAGTTGGTAAGCAAAAATTGAATGAACCATAACAGATCACCAACAGTGTAATTGATGGTAAATAAAATACACTAAATGACAAAATCTGTCAACTAACGCCAAGGGTATTGGATAAATCTTCAAATGTGAGGGGAGTCAAGGTAATTTTCCATACCTTTGGGGTGTGAGTGAGTAAAGACCATCTCCAACCCATTGCACCAAATTGATGCAAATTTTGGTGTAAAACACTATTCATCTCTAACCCACAACATCAAATATTACACTAAAAAGAATATTCTTTAGAATATTCCTTTTTTCTTTTATTGTAATAATCAACAATTAATCTATTTCATTCATTATTTTTGTATATATTAATTAAATATTGGGAATGATATTTTTATTAAATAATAATTATTTTAAAAATTATACTAATTTAATAAAATTAAGCATTTATTTAATCAAATAAACATTACATTTAATATAGAAAAACATTACATCTAATATAAAATGATACCAAAAAAATCGATGCCTTATGACATGTCGTCAAATTCTCTAAACATAAGTGATGAAAATATTTGGGGTAGTTCAGCTCAACGACCCATTGGGTTGAAGAAAGCAAAATTTAAAAGGAAAAATGATAAAGAAGTTTTAAACAGTTTTGAAGCTATTCAAGAAGAAAATCGACAGCTCCCTGCTATTTTCAATCGGGGCAACTCAGCTAGGGCACAAAATTATGAAATCCAAATGAGAAAATTGGATTTGGCAGAATATTGAGAAGATAACGAAATTTTATTCAGGGATTTGAATTCTATAACCGATCTAAAACTACGTGAGTTTTTTCAAAATGAGTAATCAAGAATTATACAAAAAAGAGCTCAACAACAAGGTCAAGGATCTCAAAATAACTCTAGTTTTTTTCAATATTTTGATGATCTTACTGGATCTGGAACTAATCTACCGGAATGCTAAATTGTTATTTTAGTTTATGTTGTATTTTCTTTTAATTTTAGTGTTTTTAAATTAGTGTTAATTTTTATTTTGAGTTAGTGTAGTTTAACATTTGCATTGAATAAAGTTCTATTTTTAATTTTTCATCATTTTTTTAATTATATCATTATTATGAATTTATTATTATAAATAATAATCAAATTAAATTAAATACAAATAATCAAATTTGGTGTGATTTTTGATGTAAAATTTAATACTCAAATTAACTTAACAAAATTAAAAACAAAAAAACAAAAAAAAAAGAAAAAAATTTTTTTTTGCACTACAGTGTCACGCCATTTTGGCATGGCGCTACTTGGTGCGGCATTGTAGCACCACGCCAAAACTGCGTGGTGCTTTGGTGTGGGTTGGACCATCAACCCAAGCCATTTTAGTGTTTTTTACACCAAAATGGAGTAGGTTGAAGATGCCCTAAACTGAAATCTAGATAGGTGGGATAATACTCCTTTTAAAAATAAGACACCACATCTTTTTTTTTTTTTTTTTAATGATTTCAAAATAACTTCTATGTAGAATCTTATATAAAAAAAATATATATATTTTTATTTCTTTCCCATAATTTTTAACTTCAAAAGTAATTTTTGAATATTATTTGAAGGCAGGTCATTACCAAATTATGCTCCACGACACTCCAAATATCCTTATTAGATTATATTAGATATGGGCGGGACACTTATGATGGAACCCACTCAATATAATATATTATGTTGTGGTAACTGTCAAACTAAACAATCGCAAGTATATAAGAGAGTCTTTATTGATCAAAAATCTATTAACTCTTTTACGCTCTAAATTTCTCTCTTCATTCACATTTATTGTTGAAATTGAAGAAGACAATAGTCTGTGCTTGTGATTGATAAAAATGTTATTACAGTTCGTTTACAAAATGTGATTGCAATAATAACATGTTGATATGATCTTGGGATTAAATTAGGAAATCTGTAGTTCTTAATTTACTAACAAATTATTCTACAAAATTTTATTGCATCAGAATTCTTATACAAACACTGAATGATTGGATCATAAATCAGCAATCTGACTTGGAAAAAATAGGAGAGAAATAATAAGACAGAAGCCCCAAAATTTATAAAAAAAAAATTCTATCATATTCAAACTTCAAAGATTCTGGAATTAAATTTGAATATGAATTAAATTAAACAAATTTGTTATTTAATAGGTTATTAAAATCATTTTCTGTTGGAAGAACAATATAAAATAAATCACCAATTTCAAACCAAATCAAAAGCTTTTTGTTATGTTTTCAACCATTATCGGAAGAAAAAAAAAATATATTTTTTTAAGGTACGGATTGCTAGACATTCATCTTTCGTTTTTATACATTTTTTTATTTACAATTGTATCTTAATTAAAACTGAAAATGGGGGCTTAATAGAAAATAAGTGGGGGCTATTTACCAATTAGCATCTCTCTTTATTGGCATGATTAGATTTTTATTTTTTATTTTTTTTAATTGGAGTGTCCGAATAGTTTGCGTATACGTTAATTAAGTTTTAAGACTCATTGAACACCTTAACTGAATGTTTTATATAAGCCAGTGAAAACCTTAAGATAGTTTGAACAGGAAATCAATAAAGGGAGTAATCTTCTTTACCATCAGACCAACCCATTGGGGTTAAAATTTTTATTATTAATATCATTTAAATATGTTGAAAAGAATGTAAAAATGCATAAAAAAATTTAAACATTATTTTATCCTCGTTACACAAGGATGAAAGTAAATCTAAGTACATTTAATATCCACTGACGAAAGTAAATAAATAATCTTGAATACAATGAAGCATTACAATTGACTATTGAATCTAGGGGTGGTCTCTTGTTTCTTTCTTCACACAAGATTATCCCAATTTCAACCAATTTTGCAGCCTGGTTTTTGCTAGACTTTCCTTTTAATTCTTGTCACTTAGCTTACTGCTCCTCATCACCTTCCTCTACCATCAGATTCGAAACTCAAATTACTTTCACCATTTCGAGAATCACCACTCCGTAGCTATAAACATCAATCTTGGAAGTGATACGAAGATTCATAGCCTACTTTGGAGCCGTGTAACCCTTTGTACCGCTAATCCTGGAGGCTTCTAAAGTTTGTTTGCCTCTCGGGGACAACTTGGCCAGCCCAAAATCTGAAATCTTGGATTCAAATTCACTGTCCAGGAGAATGTTTACAGGTTTCACGTCACAATAAATTACCCATTCTAAACACTCATGGTGAAGATAGGCTAAGCCCTCAGCTGTTCTCACAGCAACATTGAACCTCTTTTTCCATCTAAGAAAATTTTTTAAAAATAATATCCAAAAAAGAATATGAAACAATTATGTATATATAAAAAAATGTGACCAAATGTTTCCGAGAGATAAATTCAATTGCATAAAGAACAAGTTAGAAATAGTCAGAAACTATATATGAAAAATTTTATATGTACCTTTCACAAAAATTGTCAATTTGAAGCCCATAAATGATTATTATGGTAAATTAAAACTTCTTAATTTTTTTTTTTATTTGAATCAAAAGAAAAAGTATTAGACGCAGAGTTAATATCCTAACTGATGTACAATTTATTTATCGGCATCACATTCCGATATAAAATACAAACTTTATATCAAAACAAAAATGTAACATTATTAACATAGCTTATGATTAAAATCTAAAATAAAACTCATTTACTAGCTTGTGAAGCTAGTATAGTTTGCCTAAAATTCTTGAAGAAGTCAGCCAATTGATCTCTGGGTGGCATAGTCTCTTTGACAAAAGGGTACTCAAGATAATTGAGCACCCATTTGGCAAGACAAGGGAATTTTTCAGAATCAAATATTTGAACATTTGAAGCTTCTTCAATGACCCCCAACCATAGGCTAATCCATCCCAAAGTTATGTCAATTAACCCAATTGTGTCTCCTCCAAATAATTTCTTCCCTTTGACCTCTTCTTCAAGCACTTCTAGGGCTTCTTTTGCTTGCTTCACTGCCTCCTCTTGTTCCTCGGCTTTCGAAAATAGGATTTTTCTTATCACTTCTATTAACTGAAATAACATCGTTGATAATTATTATTGAATTAACGTAAATGAATGTTTTATATGTTTTAATGCATGATCCTAGACATTTTTTTAATAATTAAAACATAATTTATGTAAATCTAATAATAGTTAAAACATTATGCTCCCATAAGAAAACATTTTTTGAATATATAATCTTAAAACTATAACTAAACTAGAAAACGAATTTAAAAAAAAAAAAAAAAAAACGATTACTCATAGTTTTCTATAATTTTCAACTTTGAAAACAGTTTTAAATATAAGCAAATTCTTGAATAGATCTAAGTTTTTAAAAATTATTTTCGGATCACCAACCGAAACGATCATTAATCATTAGTAATGAGAAACAACTTTTAAAAAAAAAAAATAAAAAAGAAAAGAAGAAAAGATATACCTTCTCATCTATATACTTAGCCCAGAATCTTGCTACAGCTTTGTCACTGGGATCCTGAGGCAAAATGGGGTTGAGTTTCCAGGTTTCATCAATGTACTCAACAATAACAAGTGATTCACAGATGGATTTTTCATTATGAAGGAGGACTGGGATTTTCTTGAGGACTGGATTTGACTTGAGAAGGAGAGGGCTCTTGTTGAAAATATCTTCTTCAACAGCCACATATTTTACTCCTTTCAGCTTCAGTGCCAACTCAACCCTTTGAGCAAAAGGGCTGAACCAGGCTCCCAGTAGCTTCACTCCTTGCTCTCCTGCCATACTTTTCTCTCTCTTTGTTTCTTGCCTTCTGAGTTCTAACACTGCCCAAGTAATGGCCGGAAGAGAGATATTATTGCTGTTTCAATCAGTGGCCGAGAAGAAATTTTCGAGTGGGGCACCATAAGAATGTGATTAAATTATGGAATATGAGTTAATTGAATTGATCAATCAGTGGCCGAGAAGAAATTTTCGAGTGGGGCACCATAAGAATGTGATTAAATTATGGAATATGAGTTAATTGAATTGATAAAGGAAAGAAACATGCTCAGAATACGATTAAATTATGGAAAATGAGTTAATTGAATTGATAATGGAAAGATACATTCAAGGGGTGGACCCGCACGGTGTTTTATTTTATTTTTTGAAGTTAATTAAAAATTTTAACTTTCTCTAATAATATCTTTATTTTTATTTTTTTTCAATCCCAACCTTTTGTCTTGCCCAATGTGGCCCACTCCATCTCTCAAATCCTTATTTTTCTCTTCTCCACCTTAGCATGTCCCACCACTCAATTGGAAAATTGCCATTGTTTTCAGAATCTCTTTTAATAATAAGAATATTTGTTGATTTATTTTTTTAATTTGATTCAATTATTGAGTTTTGTTTAATTAATTTCATTTAAGTTCTTTAGAATGTCCTTTATGGTTTTGTGGTCATGGGTAATTTTGATTGGCTTTCTCTATGTTTCTTCAAGCACGTATATTATTATTTTTTTCTGCATAAATGGTGAGGTTGTTGGCATGTTGTTGTAGTTTTGTGTTTGGCCGGCTATTACTTTTTATCTTCTAAGCGTATTTTAATTTATTGAGCTGTCAAGCAAGAACAAGAAATAGGTTGTTGACTTGTTGTTCTTGTATCAAGAAGACAATAACTCTTAATAAAGAAAAAATAATCTTACTAGAAAAAAAAGAAAAAAAGATTAAAGCTTTTAAATTAAATTTCTTTTGTTGTTTTGATTTATAACATTAGAATGAATTTATGCCATTAGAACGATATGTAACTTCAAATCATGAATATGAGATTAAGCAATGATATACAATTGAAATTAAAGGGCTAATTAGCTGAATTTACATGTAGTTTACCGACAAATTTAATGGCTTGTAGATCAAGCATTTTTGTGAAATACTATTGATTTTGAGTTCTAGTTTAATTTCTTACTACAATTTAAGTTCATTTATTTAACTTTCATGTTTAAAATTATTATAAATATTAGTTTAGTTTATATTGAGCATATAATTTATTTGTTGCATTTTTTTATCAAGTAATATTATATTGTTGTTTGAAAATAGTATGGAGAGATATTTCAAAAGGAAATCAACAATGATCTCATCATCTCAACAAGAGGAAAATATTGATGATTCAAGAAAAAATGTGGATGTTGATTAGCGAGATCTTCCTATGGATCTAGGTTTACATCCCCGAATTTTAGTTATGATCCTAATATTCAAGATCAAATCCGAAGAGTATATTTGAAAATGGATCCTTGTCAACCTAAAGGCATGAGTTTCCTTTTAGAGATTTTGGTGGATTTTCAAGAAGATTTGTTGTTTCTTGGTTTGGTGAATTTGATCAATGGTTGGAATATAGTATAGCGAAAGACATAAGATTTTGTTTTTGTTACTATCTTTTTAGGTTAAATGTTGGTGATAAAGGGGGTGATGATCACTTTAGGTCAAGGGTTTTCAAATTGGAAAAAGAAAGAAAGATTGAATGTTCATGCTAGAAGTGCTGCTCATAACCAAGCTCGAAGAATTTGTGAATTATTTTTGTATCAAGACCAACACATTCATACTTTTTTTGATAGACACTCTTCTAAAGCATGAATTGAGTACCGAACTCATTTAAATGCTACAGTTGATTGTGTTTGTTATCTTCTACAGCAAGGACTCCCATTTCGTGGTAATGATGAATCCTATGATTCAAACAACCAAAAGAATTTTCTTGAGCTTCTACAATTTCTTGCTAATTCTACAATTTCTTGCTAATCATAATGAAGATGTCTATGCTGTTGCTTTCAAGAATGCTCCTGACAATCCCAAATTAACATCACCTAAGATTCGGAAAGACATTGTAAGTGGGGCTGCAAGTGAAATTGTAAATGCTATCATTAGAGATTTAGGAGATTCATCATTCTTTATATTGATTGATAAATCTCATGATATCTCTACAAAGGAACAAATTACTATTGTCTTGCGTTATGTTAACAAGAATGGACTTGTTGTGGAGAGTTTTGTAGGTGTTAAACACGTTACTAGTACTACAATTCTCTCACTCAAGATGACACTTGACAATTTTTTTTCTAGGCATGGGTTGATTTTTTCTAGATTGCAAGGACAAGGTTATGGCGAAGCTAGTAATATGCAAGGAGAATTTAATTGTGTGAAGACATTGATTTTGAAAGAGAGTAGATATGCTTATTATATTCATTGTTTTGCCCATCAACTCCAGTTGGCTCTTGTGGCTTTAGCAAAGAATCAAGATGATGTTAATGATCTCTTTAATATTGTGGCGATTATAGTTAATATTGTTGGTGCTTCATCACAACGTTACAATATTTTTAGAGATAAGCGAGCTAGTAAAGTTATTAAGGCTCTTTCTAGTGTTGAACTTTCAAGTGAAAAGGGCCTCAATCAAGAGATAAATCTGAAACGTGTCAGTGATACACGTTAGAGCTTGCATTATGGTATATTAATGAGCATAATCTTGTTGTTCTCTTCCATTATCGATGTTCTTGAAATTGTGGCAAAATATAGGACAAACTCTGAGCAAAGATTTCAGGCAAGATTGAAATTGATACAATCATTTAATTTTGTGTTTAGTCTATTTATGATGAAAGATTTACTTAGCTTTACAAATGAACTTTCTCAAGCACTACAAAGAAAAGATCAAAATATTATAAATGTTATGAATTTGGTTGAAGCGTGTAAGCAAGCTTTATAATTGATGAGGGATGGTGGATGGGAGAATTTACTTAGCAAAATTTGTTCTTTTTATGCCAAACATGACATTGATATTCCAAATATGGATGACAAATTTTTTATTCAAGGCCAATCACAATGGAAGACTAAATGTATCACAAACAAGCATCATTATCGCATTGAAGTATTTTATAATGTCCTAGATATGCAGCTTCAAGAGTTGAATAATCGTTTCAATGAGGTAAACACTGAATTACTTATTTGTTTGGTATGCTTATATCTAAATAAAAATTTTGTTGTTTTTGATGAGCAAAAATTGATGCGCCTTGTTGAACTTTATTCAGAAGATTTTTCTGACTTAGAACTCATGGCACTTGATTCTCAATTTGATATTTACATTTTGGATGTACGTTCTAATGTCAAATTTATGGAATTGAATGGGATTGGAGATCTTGTAAGAGTGATGGTTGAAACTAAGAAGGATTGAGTTTTTCCATTAGTTTATCAGTTGATAAAATTAGTATTGATTTTACCGGTTGCCACTACTAGTTTAGAGAGAGCATTTTTAGAAATGAATATTTTTAATAATCGTTTGCAAAATAGAATGAGTAATTAATGGTTGAATGATAGTTTAGTTGTGTATACAGAAAATGATGTATTTGATAGTATTGATAATGAAGTTATTATACAATATTTTCAAAAGATGAAATCTCGTCAAGGACAATTATAAATATATTAGTTAATGAGAATTTTATTAATATAAATATTTGTGTTTATTTATATTTATATTTATGTTAATTGTTACTTCAATCTTTGACCCCATAAGTTTCATTCTGGGGTCCGCCCCTGCATGCTACAATATATAACATGGGAGGGGAAAGAAAAAAACAGAAAAGAAAGGCCATGACAAAGTTTATAGAAAAATAAGAGTTTTGTTGATTGCACGAATCTCTTCAAGTTGCCAGTGTCATACTCCACACTGCGAGTTAATGGACTTTGGTTTAGTTTATAAACTTTGAATCCTCTTAATTAAATAGACACGTTTTGAGTGGAAGATGTTTGTAATTTGGTTTTGAGACTTGGATCTTTTAATCTCAATGGAAGGTCACATCTCTTTCTACTTTTGGCTTGCTCTATATGCAATTAAAGAGTGGTCCCTGTGACATCCTGGAAATATTTCAACTTGTTATATATAGCTATAAAATTTTATGATATGCAGGCTGTTTTATTATCACATTGCGAAAGCTCTAATAAATTTGAACTTGTTTTATACGCAATTAAAGTTGTGGTCTAACTATAGCCTCTTTGGCTTTTGGCTCCATTATACTGATCATGAAATTTCTCACATGCATGCAGGAAGAAAGTTGAATTGTAGTTGGAAAATTCTAGTTAGCTTGGAAGAAAGTTGAATTGTAGTGATGGGAAAATTCTAGTTAACTTGAAAGAAAGTTGAACTGTAGTTGGAAAAATTTTAAGCCAAGGTTTTATTTAAACGATACTGTGTGCCGTTCCAAGTCGTTGGAGACAATGGAATGGGATGTATCAAGATTGAATGGAAAGTTTAGCAGAAATCAAGCTGAAAAACTGGTTAAATATGCACGTCATGTCTTGAGGAAGAGAAGAAAGAGATCAAGATTGAAACACCCAAACCCATTGTCAGGATATTATGGATTTATCTTATATTCACTTCAAATAGCGGGGCTTAGAGCGTCTCCCTTGATTCGAACTCATGACTTTATCATTAGAAACGAATTAAGAGTACCAACAGTAGTGGGATTGTCACCCCTGATTCCTTCCTAAGGATAAAGTTTTGAGTTCAAAAATCAAAATTGATGCAGAACGTGTAGCACATGAATTCCTAGATAAGGCCGAGTGTCGGAAGTCCAAACGTGGATAGATTAACTTAAATAACTATAAGTTTTGATCCAGGAAGAGTTATGGGGCCTATAATAAATCAACGGAAAGCTCATTTTAAGATCTAAGATTTGGAAATAAGGTACCCTTGTTGGGGGATGTTTTTGAGCCCAAAATTCACCGTTTTGGCATGTTTCGAGACTGTTTTAGTTTTCTGCGTATCTTTTTCCTATTTTATTTAGGATTTTCTTCTTTTAATTAATTTGAATTTTATTTCCTTGTTTATTTGAAGTGTTGTTAGAGTTGGTTATCACCCTATATAAACATTATTCGTTTTTTGATATGATTCAATAATTATTCAGATTTTACTTCAAATTTTATGATCTAAGTTTCTGTGATATATTAAGATTTGTTTATCAATTTTAAAGGTATAATCAAGTGATATCTTTATTGTTACGCTAACTTGTTGCGACAAAAACCCTTTATTTGAGTTGATTGATGTCATCCCAATTAAACAACAATGTCACAGGACCTAGAAGTTTCATGGATGGCTCTTCTGGAGCAGTTTCGTGTTCATGGAGTTGGTATGAGGTAACTGGACCAGGTAATTGGAACAAAGGGTACAAGCCAAAATTTTCCTTATTTTTAACAACATTTAAATCCTAGACTTACTTTAATGATTTCATAGATGTAAGCATTAACTCTTATTTATCTTAAATCCACAGATTTAACTCCTGGAAGAAACTTTTGAAAACACAATTAACATATGTATAAACCCAATGAACTAAGGCAAACATAAAGGATCCTTGAATAAAGAACTACTGTTTTCAGTTGTCTGAACAAATGTTTGATTAGAAGGTAAACTCTACGTACAAATAGATGTAAAACATGCCGTTGAATAGACTGGAGAAGGGGTCTAGTCGTCGTCTCTGAAGTCTTCTCTTAAAAGGGGAAAAATAATTCCCAATTCTCATACATATATATTAATTATTTATGGCTATTCATTACTGATATATACACCAACTCTTCTTAAATAAAGAACGAAGAAAACCAGAGACCACATTACTACTTGGAACAACAATCGCCAACAAGAAGAATCAGACACCAAGCTTTAATATTTTCAAAGTGTCCAACCCTTTTCATTGTTCTTATTTCCTTATTCATCTCTGTTGGAAGATCAGAAAGCCAAAACTTGTTGAAAAGATGCTCTTCTTTCTCAGCTGAAAATACTTCTAATGTGTTAACATCCGCGGACAAAACTTTCACCTGTGGCTTTTATAGTCTTGGTGAGAATGCTTACCGGTTCTCAATCTGGTTTACCGATTCAAAAGAGAGAACATTTGTTTGGACGGCTAACCGCGAGACACCAGTCAATGGAAAGGGCTCAAAAGTTTCTTTGCAAAAAAATGGAGTCATGGTGCTCGGGGATGATGATGGCACAGTCGCTTGGACGACTGACACCTCCTCTACTGGGGCTGCTAAAGCCTGAGCTTTTGGACTCTGGAAATCTTGTTTTAGAGGATGTAGATAGTAACATTCTATGGAGAACCTTTGATTTTCCTACTGATACTTTGCTTCTTAACCAACCCTTCACTAAGAGCACAAAGCTGGTTTCTAGATTAGGCAATGGAACTTATGCTTCTGGGTATTTTATGGCTTATGCTGTATTTTAATGAAAGTACCTTCAGGTTGATGTATGATGGACCTGATATTTCAAGTATTTATTGGCCTAATTCTGATTATAACGTTTGGCAAAATGTAAGAACAACATATAACAGTAGTAAAATTACTATTTTAGATGAAACAGGCAGTTTATTATATAGTGACAAATGCCAATTCAGTGCTTTAGATATGGGGTTTGGGATCAAAAGAAGGCTGACACTAGATTATGACGGGAACCTAAGGCTTTATAGCCTCAACAATGTCACCGGACTCTGGATGGTTTCATGGATAGCTGTTCTGGAGCACTGTAAAGTTCATGGAATTTGAGGCACCAGAAAAGCCCAAGTGCCCCAGAACACCAGATAAGCCCAAGTGCTCATGCCCTCCAGTCTATGAGGTCACTGAACCGGCTAATTGGAACAAAGGCTGCACGCGCAGCACGCCTCAGTTCAATAGAACTTGTTCAAAGTAACAGCAAGTGAAATTCATCAAGGTTCTGCTAGTATATTTCTATGGATTTGATCTCAATTTCAGTATGACTACATCAATATTCTTGCATGAAATTATGCTTGGATGATTGCCAGTGTAAAGCATTTAGTTATAGGCTGATCGGCGAAGGAATATGTTACACATGAAGTGAGCTTTTCCATGCATGGATATAGTTCTCCAAATGTTCAAATCACCACCTATATATATAAAAGTGCCAGCTACTTTCAAAACATCGGAACCCACTAGTCCCAATCTCACTGGTCCTAATCATGTTAGCCATTTTAGGGAATCTAAAGTTACTGCTGGGGAGAAAGTGAGATGGACTAATTATCTTTACAGCTTCTGTATGCTCTTGGTGCAATTGAAGCTCTCTTCAGGTTGGTGGCTCCTTTTAAGATTAAGACATGTTGTACATTCTATAGTTGAAGATGGATATAGTGCACTATCAATTCATTTCAGGAAATTTAATTATCCCGTACTCAAGAAGGTAACAGAAAATTTCAAGAGGAGCTTGGCTGAGGAGCCTCTGGAGTTGTGTTCAAGGGCGTTTTAGCCGATGAAAGGGCGGTTGCCGTGAAGAGACTAGGAGATATCTGTCAAGGAGAAGAAGTATTTTGGGCTGAAGAGAGCACAATTGGAAAAGTCTATCACATGAACCTGGTGAGAGTGTGGGGATTCTGTTCAAAAGCCAGTCACAAACTCTTAGTCTATGAGTATATTGAAAATTTATCCCTGGACAAACACTTAATCTCATCAGAAAACTTTTGGATGGAAAGAGAAGTTTAAAGTTGCCCTGGGAACAGCTAAGGAATTGGCCTATCTTCACCACGAGTGTCTAGAATGGGTGATTCATTGTGATGTGAAACCTGAAAACATACTCCTGGACAGTGAATTTGAAATTTTGAACCCAAGATAGCAGATTTTGGGCTGGCCAAGTTGTCCAAGAGAAGCAAAAGAAATGGTCAAGTCTCCACGAATTGTGGAACCAAAGGTTACATGGCTCCAGAGTGGGCTATTAATCTTCCTAGCACTTCCACGGTCGATGTTTATAATTAAGGAGTGGTGATTCTTGAAATAGTGATAAGGATTTGGGTTTCGTATCCGAGTAATACTGTTTGTATAAACTATTTTGTATAAAATTTTTCATACAACCTTATGTGTCAAATGTGAGGTTCAATTTCTGACAAAGCCTACCTTATCAAACTACATTGTTTACGTAACAGAGCCAAAAGAGGGTAGAGTTTTAACACAATCATTGGAAAATGATAGAAAAAGCTGGTATAAATCATTTTTGCCAGTTTCCACATCTAACTCGGATGAGGAACAACGCATGGTGTATTCCTACAACACTGTGGTTAGTGGTTTTGCTGCAAAATTATCGCCAGAGGAAGTCAAAGAAATGGAAAAAAAACAAGGGTTTGTGGCAACCNAAAATAACTTCACAAAATTTGAAATGCTTAAGATAGAGGCCGTGTTTAGATAGAAAACAAGAGCTTTCATAAATTCATATTTTTTTTCTGGTTTTGAACAATAAAAAATGCATTTTTAGAATAAAGAATATTTTGATATTAATCCTCTTATAATATGTACATTTCTAAACTGCCATATATAATAATATGTAATATAAAGGAAATGGGATATTTATCAAATAGAGTTAAATATTCTCGATATGCCATGTCATTTAATTCCGTTGATTAATTACAATTATATCTCCTGCCTTCGATAAATTAAGAAACCAGCAAATTGGTTAGGAATTCGTTCTAATTAATTAAATAACTTCAACAAAATGATACTGATGTTAGTATGGTGAAAAGAATAGATTAATTCCATAAATAGCTTGGAAAATCATCTAACTGTTAGCTTTATTATTGTATTCTTAATATAGAATTTGAATTGAGTTAGTCCACGCATAATTACTATAATAGAAAAACAGAAACTAAAAAAAGGGTTGTGGTTTGAATACGACAATTGATCTAATCAGTTTTAACAAAATACTGTTGGAACAAAATTGTGCTTTTTTTGTCGTAACCCTTAACTATTTGTGTTTCTCTACGGATTATACTATAAATATGTGCATGCTAGGTGTTGTTACTCAAAACATTAAAATTATTAATATTCTACTATTCTTGTAATACGAAAGAACAAGAATAGTAGAGACAACAAACCATGGCGGCAATTGTCATTAGCCTCATGTTCATGTTGAGTTTCACTCCATCAATAGCCATTCCTGAGGTGATCAACGGAAAGGAGCCAAGCACCTTATCAACCTACATTGTTTACGTAACAGAGCCAAAAGAGGGTAGAGTTTTAACACAATCATTGGAAAGTGATAGAAAAAGCTGGTATAAATCATTTTTGCCAGTTTCCACATCTAACTCGGATGAGGAACAACGCATGGTGTATTCCTACAACACTGTGGTTAGTGGTTTTGCTGCAAAATTATCGCCAGAGGAAGTAAAAGAAATGGAAAAAAAACAAGGGTTTGTGGCAGCCCATGTTGAAAAGATATTGCCTTTGCACACAACGCATAGCCCTAACTTCTTGGGTTTGCAACAAAATATAGGATTTTGGAAAGAATCAAATTTTGGCAAAGGAGTGATTATTGGAGTTTTGGATACAGGAATAACGCCTGGTCACCCTTCATTCAACGATGTAGGAATGTCTCCACCACCACCAAAATGGAAAGGGAGATGCGATTTAGTTGGGGCGGCTTGTAATAACAAACAAATTGGGGCAAGAAATTTTGCAAATAAGAGCACACCTTTTGACGACGAGGGGCATGGAACCCACACGGCAAGCACAGCGGCAGGAAACTTTGTAAAAGGAGCTAATGCGTTTGGTCAGGCCAACGGTGAGGCAGCTGGTGTAGCGCCTTTAGCTCATTTGGCGACGTATAAAATTTGCAATGAAGCAGGTTGTCGTGAGAGCGACATTTTGGCTGCAATGGATGTTGCTATTGCCGATGGAGTTGACATGATTTCGCTTTCAGTTGGTGGTGGTTCCACGGCTTTCTTTAATGACGCTATTTCATTGGCTTCATTCAGGGCTATACAAAAGGGCATTTTTGTGAGCTGTTCAGCAGGAAATTCCGGACCAGCTCCCAAAACTTTGTCTAATGAAGCTCCATGGATTCTAACCGTAGGAGGAAGCAACTCTGATAGAAGCATAATCGCAACCGCAAAACTTGGAAACGGAAAAGAATATGATGGCGAAACCCTTTTCCAGCCTAAAGACTTCCCTTTGACACAATTGCCTCTTGTTTATGCTGGTGCTATTGCTAATGGTAGTCAAGAATCTGCATGGTGCAAACCAAGATCATTAAGAAATGGTAATGTTCAAGGCAAGGTAGTGATATGTGAGAGAGGTGGAGGTATAGGAAGAATTGAAAAAGGGAAAGAAGTCAAAGAGGCTGGTGGTGCTGCTATGATTGTCATGAATGACGAGGATTCTGGTTTTACTTCCTTAGCCGAAGCTCATGTACTCCCAGCAGCACATGTGAGTTATACAGCAGGGATGAGTATTAAAGCCTATACAAACTCAACACCTTCACCAACAGCAACAATCTTGTTTAAAGGAACTATAATTGGTAAGAAATCTGCTCCAGAAGTCGCTGGTTTTTCTTCAAGAGGCCCCAACGTACAAAGCCCCGGAATCTTGAAACCGGACATTATTGGACCAGGTGTGAACATTCTAGCTGCTTGGCCGTTTTCTATAGAAAACATCACTAACACAAAATCAACATTTAACATGATTTCTGGAACCTCAATGGCTTGCCCTCATCTTAGTGGTGTTGCAGCGTTACTGAAAAGTAGCCATCCTGACTGGTCACCAGCAGCCATAAAATCTGCCATCATGACCACTGCTGAGATATTAAATCGGGAAAACAAGCCAATTGTTGACGAAAAGCTTTTACAAGCTAATGCCTTTATGATTGGTGCAGGCCATGTTAACCCATCAAAAGCAAATGATCCAGGACTAGTTTATGACATCCAACCGAATGATTACATTCCTTATTTATGTGGCTTGAATTATGATGACAAACAGGTAGCAACCATTGCAAATCGTGATGTACAATGCTCAAAAGTTAAAAGAATAACTGAACCACAGTTGAATTATCCTTCTTTCTCTATCATCATGAAGACCGATGCTCCTCAGACATACACTAGAACAGTCATAAATGTTGGTAAACCTGGATCATCCTATCGTGCTCAAATTCTTCCACCAGCAGGAGTAAGCATAATTGTGAAACCTACGTTGTTGACCTTCAGGAACACCAACGAGAACGCTACGTACTCTATCACATTTTCCAAAACCAATCGAACTGTTGGAGAATTTTCGGAAGGAAATTTGAGTTGGATTTCAACTGACCATGTCGTTCGAAGCCCAATAATTGTCTCCTTTTGAAACAAAAGCAAGAATAGATGCTACTAAATTGTTGAGTACGTTATATAACTTGTGCTACTAAATAGGTGCACATCAAAGTTAATTTTACATCTAATAATTGCATTTTTCTAAGGAATATCCATTGTACTCTAAAGGCTTGACATCTACAAGAACCTTGATTATATGTTCTTGATACTTCCGCTTTACTAGGGAAGTTAACCATGCTTTATTGTAATGCAGTATTCTAATTACACAAATCATGCCTTTGTCTACACTTATCAGTAGTGTTAGTAAAAATCAGAATATGTTATTGTTGATAATGTTTTCACAATTCCACATTCCTCTTGTATATTTTCATTATTTATGAACCTTAAAGGGAGTTGAATAGCTCTTTTGTTACAACCTTGCTCAAATTCTAGTTAGAAATCAAGTAAACCTTGATCAGTTAATATTTTCTACCTTGATTCTATATAAGTTGCACAAATTCATTAACTATCAATCTTATTTACATCTAATTCATGAAATCACTTAATAAAGTTAATTTATAAGATCTAACTTCGATGTTCAATTAAAAACCTGTGTTGGTGATCTTTAGGTATTAAAATATTCAAATTATACCGAAACAAAATAAATAATTGTTTTTTTCTTTTTTTGATAAATTGCTTCAAAAGCGGCTGAGCACTTGTTCTTTTCGGTCCTTCTTTGACCACCACAAATTTTGAGTGTTTGGGTGAGCCATCTCGCGACCTTCCTTCCGAGTATAACTCAAGGTAGCATCTCGTTGTATCCTTACACAGAATATCAATCAAAGTGTTATGCCTAAACAATCACGCTAATATCAGTTCAATAAGTGTCTAAAAAACAAAATGTACTAGCTGTCAAGCCCATACCGTCTCAAAGATATTCATACTAATCCTATCTCATTTTAAAAAATTGACGGATGAAAGCTCTCCATGTGTCAAGGCAACTTACAAAACACTCATTACATTGACCTCAAATGTGTATAAATAGGCACCTCTCTTCATGAAATAAAGGGTTGTGCATATGAGAGTTAGGCATAGATTTGAGTTTTATTATCTTTCTCTGTAAACCAAGCATTTCTCCATTCTTTCTACGCCTTACCGGCAATATCATAGAATTAGTCAGAGAATAATGAAATAACAGTGGATGTAGGATTCGCTTTTGAGCATCTGAACCACTATAAAAATCGTCATTACCATTCTTTTATTTATGTTTCTGCAAACATATATAATCTCATATTCCGCTTTATTTCCTTTCATTTCCATTTCACGTGTAATTCTTAAGTCACCTTAGCACTTTACACGTGCAAATCGTTGGTGTCAAAATCAAACATCAACACAAAGAGACCAAAACAGTTGTTAAATAATAATAATAATAATAATAATAATAATTGTTTGGTGTGGTAGGCGAATAATCCAATAAAGTGTTTTGATGCAAGTTCAATGACTAAGGCTTAGGGGCTGTTACATCATGGGTAATCTAGATGGTTAGGGCGAACTGAGAATAGTGTGTGATAGGCGCACAGGCTAAAATTTGATTTCCCATCTGAACATTTACGATTTAAGTGGGGGTCGTGGAAGCAGGTTGCTATGCTACTCTCTCCCGAGAGTTAATTGATATGCACGTAAGCTGACCTGAATACCTTGGTTACCAAAAAATAAAAAGCTTAGCGGCTGTTTGTTTTTTTATCTTAACTGTGAATGTCACTAATTTTAGTAGATGAAGATGTTTAATGATTGTTTGTTTTTTAACTTAAAGTAAAAAGGTAAAATATTTGAGTCTTATCTAAATACAAAAACATCTTAATCAATAATATCTTTCGTTTGTCAACAATACCCCAATTAAATATATATAATTCTAATTTTAGCAAAACCCTTATATATTATTTATTTTTTGTCTTCTTTTATTTTATTTGTTTTTTGTTTTTTAGATATTAAATTAAACAATATACAATAACATAGTTATGTATCATTTTTATACATTTTTTTTTTTTTCAGAAATTTGATAATTTAAAATTTTTTAAAAGATGTAAAATATAAAATCGACAATAGATCAATGAATAATACTACACATACATCATTCCCATATAACATTTCTCATACAACATTATGTGGCAAGATGTGATTGGGTGAAAGTTTAATTTTAACTTTAAATTAACCAATCATATCTTGCCACATAATGTTGTATGAGAAATGTTGTGTGAAAATGATGTATGTGTAGTATTACTCTAGATCAATTCCTGTGTAGAGCGCAATAGATCCTATTGACCAATCGACAAGATCAATTGCTCTACACAACGATGACTTTACACAATGGAGTTGAATGAGTGATTGGAGTCGTCGTTGTGTTGAGCACAATAGATCCTATTGACCAAGCAAGGAATTCGAAGTTGAAGTCTTCTACAGAGGTCATGGGCTTATGTACCGAACTATCAATGATTATCAATTGGGCAGGCTGAGGTTGGCTCGACAATCCTCCATACTTAGGGGTCGCAAACAATTGTTTTGGATTGATCGAGATGCAGAGTCTAGCGTCCTGTTGCTGACTCAGTGTGAAGTCAAGGGAATAAAACTGATGGATTAAGATTGATTGATATTTGCCACCGTGCCTCTTCCTTGTACCAGTTGATGTTGCGACAGTGCCTAATATGAGTTTGCGCTTGCCCTAGACAAGTTCGAGGTTCCCATCGATCAATTATAGAGGTTTCAACCACTGAACTTGCTTATGCTCCCCTTTGAACATTGTCGACTGTGGGCCTTGCAATTACCAAATCTGGCTGCGCAAGGCCCTCACATGGCGACTAAGCAGTAAGTGATTAAAAAAAAACATTCAATATTCCCCGATCCCTAATTCTTAAACTTAAATTGTTATTTGAAACATAAAATTACAACGAAATTTCAGTTAACTCTCGATTCTCAAACCGGTTCCAACCTGGGTACTCAGATCTCAATTCTGTTTTTTATTCTTGGGTGAGTTCCGGTTCCTTGAATTGGTGGAAATGGTGTTGATACTAGAATCGTACAGCACCGGTTTCACACAATTGGGAATTGTAACTGAAACCCCAAGTATCCACATATTCCAATTCTACCCAAAAATCTTGCACACCCCTAGGTAGAGGTATATACCTCAATCCCAATAATATATCCTTGTACTGACATGGTTGGCGCAGTCAAATTTGAAATTTTTAAAACCCTTTCCTTGAGTTAAATGGAATAGACAAACGCTTAAGCTAGTAAAACCCAAACACTAAAACTGAATCTTAAGGTACGAGGATTTGGTCTTGTCCTTCAAATAAATACTAACAAATACTACCCCAATTTGCCGTCTCGGGAGTAAAAGCATATACCAAGTTCTGAAAGCGCCATACCACAATGATCCAACAGGAATACTCAACTCAAAACTGAACAGAAATCAGATGCCGCCGGCTATCTCTCCTTCTTTCAGCTGTATATATATATAGTTCATTAAACTACCACTGACATAAACACAAAAATCGTACGATACTTCTCTTATACTTCATGAAGAGCAGTACTTTTCCATCAAAGATGAGTGTCATTTTTCTCATTCTCTTGTTCAACTTTCATCTCAGCATTGCTCAAGGAACTGAAAGGAACACTTTGCAAACTTACATTGTCCATGTGAAGCAGCCGGAAGGTAGACTTCTTACGCAATCAGAAGATCTAGAGAACTGGGACAAATCTTTTCTGCCACTTAGCACTACAAGAACAAACACAGACGTGCCACAACGCATGGTTTATTCGTACAAAAATGTTATTGATGGTTTCACAGCAAGAT